AAAAAAAAAAAAAAAATTCTTATTTATAGTTTTCAGTTTGTATAGATTTTTACAAATGCATCAGTGAAATTCAGGAAGTCTCAACCCTCTAGATTACTCAAATTCATGTCAACATCTCTCAGAAAACATCTCCCCTCAACTTCAGCTTAAATAAAAGGATAATTTTAGGTTGTCATTTGTATAGCTTTTTGGTTAATGTTTTAAAAACATAACTGGCCAGGTGTGGTGGCTCACGCCCGTAATTCCAGCACTTTGGGAGGCTGAGATGGGTGGATTGCCTGAGGTCAGGTGTTTGAGACCAGCCTGGCCAACATGGTGAAACTCCATCTCTACTGAAAATACAAAAATTAGCTGCGTGTGGTGGTGGGTGCCTGTAATCCCAGCTACTTGGGAGGCTGAGGCAGGAGAATCAGTTGAATCCGGGAGGCGGAGGTTGCAGTGAGCCAAGACCATGTCATTGCACTCCAGCCTGGCCAACAAGAGCAAAACTCCATCTCTAAAATATAAATAAATAAATAAATATAAAAACATAACTGTAATATGGTTGAAAGAACAAATTATGGCCTGGTGCAGAGGCTCATGCCTGTAAACCCAGCACTTTGGGAGGCCAAGGTGGGAGGACTGCCTGAGCTTAGGAGTTCGTGACCAGCCTGGACAACACGGTGAAAACCCATCTCTAATAAAATACAAAAATTTAGCCGGACGTGGTGGCGCGCACCTGTAGTCCCAGCTGCTCAGGAGACTGAGGCAGAATTGCTTGAACCTGGGAGGCAGAGGTTGCAGTGAGCCGAGATCGCACCACTGCACTCCAGCCTGGGCAACAAGGCAAGACTCTGTCTCAAAAAAAAGTAAAAAAACAAAAGAACAAATTACAATCACCTAATTTTTTTTAATCAAATAGCCAATGTCCAGTTTTCCCCATTTTCTCACAATTTTTTTTACAGTTTGTTTAAATCAGGATCTACATAAGGTCTAGTATGTTCTATTAGTCTATGTTACAATTGATTCATATGTTTCTTAAGTCTCTTTTTCTATGAACTTACGGAAGACATTGAAAAATCTCTCTTTAAAAATAAAAACTTGATTTTGACATAACTTGAGGCCTACTTAGAAGTGGCAGAGTTCAAGCTGGGCACAATGGCTCATGCCTGTAATCCCAGCACTTTGGGTGGCCAAGGCAGGCGGATCATCTGAAGTCAGACATTCGAGACAGCATGGCCAGCACGGCAAAAGCCTGTCTCTACTAAAAATAAAAAAATTAGCTGGACGTGGTGATGCGTGCCTATAGTCCCAGCTACTTGGGAGGCTGCGGCAGGAGAATTGCTTGAACCCGGGAGGCGGAGGCTGCAGTGAGCTGAGATGGTGCCACTGCACTCCAGCCTGGGCAACAGAGTGAGACTTTGTCCCAAAAAAAAAAAGTTGCAGAGTTCCTGATTTTAAAGCTGTTGTCATTTTTTAAATTTGTAGGTTCTATCCATATCCTTCTCTCCTTCTCCTTGTATATATTATTAAAAAATCAGGTCATTTGCCTGTAGGATTTCCTATGTTGACAAAAAAAGGCAAACTGTAAAATATTTTAAGAGATTCTGAGCCAAATATGAGTGACCAATGGCCAGTGACATAGCCCTTAGGAGATCCTAAGAAAATGTACATGGTTAGGTTACAGCTTGGCTTTATATATTTTCAGAAGACGTAAGACATCAGTCAATACATGTAGACGTATATTGGTTCGGTTCAGAAAGGTGACGCAACTTGTAGGAGGGGGGCTTCCAGGTCATAGGTAGATGCAAAGACTTTCTGACTGGCAATTGATTGAAAAGGTTAAGTTACGTCTGAAGACCGAGAATGAACAGAAGGGAGTTTCTAGGTTAAGACAGGGGCTTGTGGAGACCAAGATTTCCGTTAAGCAGAGGAAGTCTCCAGGTAGCAGGCTTCAGAGAGAATAGATTGTAAGTGCTTCTTATCAGAGTTCTCTCCTGAAGCAGGAAAAAGACCTGGAAAGGAGCAGGGATTCTCTACAGAATGTAGATTTTCCTCACAAGGGATAGCTTTGCAGGGCTATTTCAAAATACGTCGAAGAAATTTAATGTGGGGTAAAGTACTTCGATTTCTTCCAGGGCCTCCTATCTGTCATGTAATCCTACACCAGAGTCAGGCTGGAATTTGGTGTCATTGCTACAGAGTCTACTTTGTCAGCCTCAAGATGTTTTTTTGTTGTTGTTGTTGTTTGTTTTTTTGTTTTTGTTTTGAGACAGAGTCTCCCTCTGTCGCCCAGGCTAGAGTGCAGTGGCACCATCTTGGCTCACTGCAAGCTCTGCCTCTTGGGTTCACACCGTTCTCCTACCTCAGCCTCCCAAGTAGCTGGGACTACAGGTGCCCGTCACCACGCCCAGCTAATTTTTTGGTTTTTTTTTTTAGTAGAGATGGGGTTTCACCGTGTTAGCCAGGATGGTGTCATTCTCCTGACCTTGTGATCCGCCCGCCTTGGCCTTCCAAAGTGCTGGGATTACAGGCGTGAGCCACCGCACCCGCCCGGCTGGCTCAAGATCTGTTTTAATGTGAATGCTGGTCAGCTGTCTGCCTGAATTCCAAAAGGGAGGAGGGAGTAAGGTATGTCTGTCTCTCCCTTCCCATCACTGCCTTAACTAGTTTTTCAGGATAACTTTGGAATGCTCTTGGCCAAGAGGAGGGGTCCATTCAGATGGTTGAGGGTTTGAATTTTATTTTTGTTTTACACCCGCAATTGCTGACTTGTATCCTTGTAGAATCCTTTAGTACAGTCTTGTCTTCCAAATTTCCACTAATTAACTTCAGAAACTTGTTCACTTTCAGCTTAAATTTTTTCTGGCAAGACTACTTCATGGATGGTGTCGTGTACTTCCAGTATCTGACCTTTTTGCGATGTTAATTAGCAGTCATTGATGACATTGCTCAGGTCCGTTAATTCATAAGGTGATGTGTTAATCCTACTGTTTCTTCTTCATTTATTAGCGGGAAAACTTCTATAATGAGACATTCTTCTCATGCAGTATTTGGTTACTCTGCTGTAAATTTCATAAAGGCAGGACAAATGCTTGATGCTTTCCTTTTATTAACCAGGCCCCAAACTGGGGAGAGCTTGCCAGCATCCTCCAAAAGTGAACACAGTTAAAAAATACATTATTATGAATTACAGCCCGGAGCACCTCAGGATTTTCAATTCATTGGAATTACTGTTCTTATTCATGCTCAAATCTTCTTTTTTGGCAATGAGAACCGCTTCAGTTACGCTTCTATGTTGGGAAGACGCTCATAGGCTTTGGTAAGTTCTTTGCTTTCGGATACGTTTCCCCGCACGTTTCTCTTTTCCAAGAAACCCGGTTCCTAGGCCGGGCGCGGTGGCTCAAGCCTGTAATCCCAGCACTTTGGGAGGCCGAGACGGGCGGATCACGAGGTCAGCAGATCGAGACCATCCTGGCTAACACGGTGAAACCTCGTCTCTACTAAAAAAAAACAAAAACAAAACAAAACAAAACAAAACAAAACAAAACAAAACTGGTTCCTTTGGCTGGAACCACCCGACTCCTCCTGTGGCTCCGCCCGGGTCCCGGAAGTCCGTGCAGCCCGGCCTGCGATCCCGGAAATCCGCTGGGCTCCGCCCCATCCAGGAAATGCTTGCGGCCCCGCCCCCAACCCCGGAAGTCCGCGAGGTCCCGCCCCCGAAAGTCGGCTCCGCTCCGCTCCAATCCCGGAAGTCCGCGCGGCCCCGCCTCTGCCGGTTCGCGTCTCTCTGCTGCCGCGCGGGGACCGCTGTGCTCTCGGTAGGCGGCTGGGCTGGGTGGGCTCCGCACTTCCTTCCCGCTCCATGCCGCGCGTCCCGGCACCCTGGGGCCCACTCCGGACGGGGTTTGCGTCCTGGACCCGCTTGTCGGCTGCTCCGTGTCCCGCCCTGCCCGTCGCGGGCGGCCTCGCGGCTGTTCCGCTGCAGGTTGGCCACGGCGGCGGGAGCGCCCTCGACCCGGACAAAGAAACGAGCGCTCGGTGCGACCAGCGGCGCGGGCGGCTCTGCCACCGGGCGTGTGCTTGTGTGTGTGCATTTGTGTGTGGAATGCCGGGTGTTGGGGAGCAATGCGGTAACTGAGGCCCGGGAGGGAGCCCAGTCATATACCAGCATCTAGGATTGGTTTTGTGATTTGAACCCACTATTTTTTATTTTTTCGAGACACGGTCTCACCCTGTCACCCTGGCTGGAGTGCAGTGGCACAATCTCGGCTCACTGCGGCCTCCACCTCCTGGCCTCAGGTGATCCTCCCAGCTCAGCCTCCTGAATAGCTAGGACCACAGGCGTGCACCACCACACCGGGCTAAGTTTTAAATAGTTTCTGTGGAGACGGAGTTTCACCACGTTGTCCTGGCTGGTCTCGAACTCCTGGACTCAAGCAATCCGCACGCCTCGGCCTCCCAAAGTGCTGAGATTACATGAGCCACCGTGCCCAGCCTGAACCCCCTATTTAATGTCAGAAATTTGACTTCACAGGGAAAGCCCTGAGAAACTGCCAGAACGGGGTCCCCGGGGCCAGTGTTCGGAGCGTACTGTGAAGTGGCAGGGCTGTTGCAGTCCGTGCAGAACCCGGTGTGGAAGATTAGCCCCTTTGGTGACTCGTCGGTTCTGGCCATTTTAGGACGCTCCACTGTGCAGTCTGAACTTTCAGCAGGTGGAGGAAGGCAGAGAGCGAGCTGAGACTGTTGGTCTGTGCCAGCATGAGAGCCAGTCCGGCCTGAAGCCATGAGGGGACTTTCAGTTCCCTTTCTTGATGGAGGCCAGCACAGGGGAGAGGGGGTGCTGACAGGTGCTAGAAGCTCAAAGGCTGCTGGGGGCTAGCGGCCTCCTCAAGACATTAGGTTTCCAGATAGGATGGGCAGGTGGTGATGCAGCTGTAGCTCGTGAGTCTGAGCGGGAAACAGCCCCCGTGCAGTCGGTGTCACTGTGAACGGAAGAGGGTCTTCCTTACACAGGAAACGGGGTCTCTGGGGGATCCAGTGATGTGCCTGACCACAGAGAACAGATCAGACTGGCTGATGGTGTCTGGCGCTGCAGGTGACTTAGTTGCGGGACCTGCTCTTGGCCTCCAGCCTGGGCCTGATGGCGTGGGCACCTGCCTGTGTGCAGGGCTCAGCTGCCTCTGTCTGTCCCCAGGCCCCTCCTCCTGTAGAGACTGGTGCTGCCTTCTCGGAATGTACCTGCAGGTGGAGACCCGCACCAGCTCCCGCCTCCATCTGAAGAGGGCTCCAGGCATCCGGTCCTGGTCCCTGCTGGTTGGTAAGGCTCTCCCCAGAGGCTGTCCCTCCCCAGAACCCCAGAATTGGAAGCCTGACTTTCAAAAAGGATGAAAATGAAACATAGTATTTTGTTTTTTCTATTACCCTGAAATCGAACAGCTATTTTGTTTCTTTGTATCCATTCAAATTTTATCCTGTGTACTTGGTTTTACAGATAATGCACGTCTATTTTGTCCCCTTTTAACCACTAACACCCAGAGTATTTAATACTCTGTGAGCTTTTCTGAGGTCACCGTATTTTCCTTTGTACTTGTTTTGAACCGTGTGATGGGTGATCGTGGGTTCCCATTTCTTCTCTTCCCTGATCCTCAGACCTCCTCATAGGACTCACAGTCCACTTAGCCTCCTGTCCTCCGTCCCTACTCACCAGTAGGGTCCTGTACCCTTGGGGATAGCTGCACTTGTGTTGACGGGACACCGTGTGAGGAGTGCTGCTGGCTGTACCTCAGCAGCTGTGTCTCTGGGGCCCACCTTTTATGTGACACGCCACAGCCTCCTGTGTGTTTTGCGTGGCACGCTGCGTTGTAATTCTTTGTGCACAGTCTTCAGGCCTCACCACGGGCTGCTGGAGTAACACCCGTGTCAGTTCTGGAGCCTCACATGGCGGATGTGTCCAGTAAATACTGTGAATAGTGTATACTGTGTTTTCTTTTTGTTTTCTTTAGTGATGAGGTCTCGTTAGGTTGCCCAGGCTGGTCTCAAACTCCTGGGCTCAAGCGATCCTCCTTCCTCGGCCTCCCAGGTAGCTGGGATTACAAGCGTGTGATACTATGCCCAGCTATACTGCATTATCGAACCAACTTCCTGGCTGTTTCCCCTACTCTGAACCTGGTGGTCTGTAACCCCTGACCACAGCTGTTCCTATAGTGGGAAGGGCCTGCTCATCAGGGGCTGTGGCTCCAGGTCCGGCTGCACCGGGGAGGAGGTGGGGTCTTACCGGGATCAATAGGCAGGCAGTCACTTTCTCTTCATAGGAATCTTGTCAATTGGCCTGGCTGCTGCCTACTACAGTGGAGGTAAAGCACCCCCTGCCCCGCCCCCCCATGACTGTCTCAGCTGTTTGGAAAACAGAGAAAAGAAGGGAAAACCGTCCTTTGTGACTGTCCATGGGGCAGCCTTTAAGATCGGCATCTCTGCCCCTTGATTGCTGGTGGGCACCGCGCCCCTCCACGCACTGCTGTTCTTCCGCACGCCCATCCTGCCCAGCACCCAGCCTGCATTTCACTTCTTAAGTCTTCGGTGTTTTTGGGTCATCAGATATCCTGGGAAAGATGCTCTTGAGTATCTGTCTAAGATCCAGTTGTGGGGTGAGGCGTACTTCCCCCACTGCCACCATCACTGGGCCTGCCCAGACAGGCAGAGGCCCTGTGCACCCCACCTGCCTCTCCCACGTGGACGCCGGGGGTCAGAGCTGGGCAGGGTGTGCCGCATGTGGGTCCTGAGTGGCCAGGGCAGGGTCAGCAGCACAGGAAGCTGCCCAGGCGGTCCTTGCAAGCGTGGGGGAGGCTGCGCTAGGTGGGGCCTCCCATGGGCACGTCCCTGGAGCTCACAGGCTGGCGCCCTATGTCCATCTTCAGATAGCCTGGGCTGGAAGCTCTTCTACGTCACAGGCTGCCTGTTTGTGGCCGTGCAGAACCTGGAGGACTGGGAGGTAAGGCCGGCTCGGGGGCAGGACGGAGTCCAGGACTGTTCCGCTCCTGGGTTTTCTTGCAATGGGAATGAAAGGAGGAAGGGCCATGGGTGGCCCAGCGCCTCCACGCCCTGAAGCGTTGGTCCCTGCTTGGAGGTCTCCGTTCATTAGGACATGGTCCCTGCACTCACCTGGTACGATTCTTGGCCAAGGAATCTCCCGAAGGCATTTTTCTCTTAGAAGCTCTCCGTGACCGTCTTCACCAAAGCGCTTTCTTCCCAGAGTTGCCACGACGGGATGCGAGTCAGCTTTCCCCGTGGCCGGCCCTCCCACCTCGGAGCCCCTCCTGAGTCCTTTCAGCCTGGCCCAGTGCTGCCCTCTGACCTCCATGCCCTCATTTGCTGGTTCCGCTGCCTCCCTGCACTTGTTTTGCCTGCAGTGGAGCAAGCACCCGCTGCACCTGCCCAGCTCCTGCACCTGCCCAGCTCCCCAGTTCCCAACAGGAGTCAGGCTGGCTACAGATGTCCAGCTCTGACAGAGCAGCACCTGCAGCTTCAGGGCTTTGGGTTCTGACTGGGAGGGGCCCCAGCCCCCCTTCTTGAGTGTCTGCCCTGGTGAGGGTGGGGGTGATGCCCCAGCGGCCTCGGGGCCCCTGTTCCTGGAGGTTCATGGCGGTCAGTGCCTGTCGGTTTCCAGGAAGCCATCTTTGACAAGAGCACAGGGAAGGCTGTTTTGAAGACGTTCAGCCTCTACAAGAAGCTGCTGACTCTTTTCAGAGCAGGCCATGACCAGGGTGAGTTGTGGGGAGCCTGGGGACATGGGGCACTGTGGGCATCTGGGTGACCCACGGGACCTGGCGGCGGGAGGCCTGGAAACGCCTTTGGTCCAAGCTCGCCTGCTTGGTGACCAGGGTTGTGTCCTGCCCGCTGGACGCAGGATCCCACAGATACGCCCCACCTGCTCATCTGCTCACCTGCTGGGCGGGGTCCTAGAGCCTCCTGGGTTCTTTAGAGGTTTGGCCCCTCGGGAGGGTGGGAGGAGCAGAGGTCTGGCAGAGCAGGGGTCTGGCCCAGCGTGCTTGGGCAGCCTGTTTAGCTGTGTTCTCCTGCCTGCCTGGCAGCCACTTGTCCCCAGGTACAGTCTGGCCCCAGCGGCAGGTCACAGGGTGGGGCAAGGAGAGCCACGGCAGCCCACAGGCGTTCCGGAGTGGGGCCACCTGGCTACTTGCGGGCCTTGGCCCTGCTCCAGCTTTCCTGTGAGTCCTACTGGGCCTGCAATAGGGGCTGGAAGGTCCGAGGAACCCCCCACCCTTGAGCCTGGGCAGTGGCCCAGCTGTGGTCAGTACCAGTTTCCTGTAGATGCTGCCGCAGAGAGAGAGGCCCCAGGGTCCGGCTGTCCATGCATAGCCCCAGAGAGGGGACAGATTCTGGTGACCAGAGTTGCTGGGCAGTCTTGGGTTTAGTGCCACAATGCTGTGCTTCTGACAGGCTGCTTCCTAGATCCCTGCAGGGATCTGGCCAGGGCATTGGCCCCAAGTCACCGTGGCTTTGGGGAGAGGAGTTGCAGGCCTGGCCTGGGCTGTGAGAGGCAGCTGTGCCGTTTTCTGACAACAGTTGGGGCCGCCCTGGTACCCAAAGAAGTGGCTTCCCTGAGTTGCCACAGGAAATTGCAGGGTGGCCCTGGCTCAGCAGCCAACCTCGGGGAAACAGTACAGTGTAAAGATGGCGGCCTCGCACTGAGCGGGTCCCCGTCGTCGGCACTCCCAGGAGAACCAGCAGGCTGTGCATGTGGCCTGCCAGCCTGCACCGCGGGCACGTCCTTCCCACCCGGAGGACCCTGCACTGCTGTCAGGGCCACAGCAGTCCTCCAGGACCCAGCCTCAGGCAGGAAACAGCAAATGCTTTTGCTGCCAACCAGGCGTGGCTGTCGCTCTCGATGGCGCCAGTGGTCCTGGTGTGACTGCCGGGCGGCACGTGTGGGCGGGGACGGCTCGGCCACTGACCGTCTCCCCACAGTGGTGGTCCTGCTGCATGATGTCCGCGATGTGAGCGTGGAGGAGGAGAAGGTCCGGTACTTCGGGAAGGGCTACATGGTGGTGCTCCGGCTTGCGACGGGCTTCTCCCACCCCCTCACGCAGAGTGCAGTCATGGGCCACCGCAGGTAAGGCTGTGGGACTTTGATCTGGCTGGAGCTGCAGCTGTGTCAGGTGACTCCCGTTCCTGACCACCCAGAGCTACAGGACAGCTGGGAGAGGAGATGAGTTTGTGGACGAGACACAGAGGGGCCCCCGTTAAGCATGTGCAGGCTCAGGGGCAGTCTCCGTGGCTGGGAGGGTAGGAGGCAGCCAGGAAGTGCTGGGTCCAGTTTGGGAGCCCCAGGGGCTGGGTGGTTGAGGAGGCGGCTGCCGTGGGGTCTCATGGCGCCCTGTGCTGAGGTGACCTGACCTTCCTCCCATTGCCGGCCTTGCCCAGTGATGTGGAAGCCATCGCCAAGCTCATCACCAGCTTCCTGGAGCTGCACTGCCTTGAAAGCCCCACAGAGCTGTCTCAGAGCAGTGACAGTGAGGCCGGCGACCCTGGGAGCCAGAGCTGACAGCCCCGGTATGCCTGAGCCTGTGCACCACCCACAGGACCCGTGACACATTCCTGGTGTGCCTGAGCCCGTGCACAGCCCACAGAACCCCGTGGCCTTGACTTCAGTTGGTGCCTCCAGCCGAGTCGGCCTCTTGCCTGCTCACACTGCTGCTTTCACACTGCACGAAACAGCAGGCCGGACGAGGACACCCAGACTTTCTCCATCGTGAGGCCTGGGCCTGCCTTCCTGCAGCTGGAGGTCTCGCCAGCCCTGGACTCCTGCTGTGGGCCACAGCCAGACCTCGGGCGAGTGGAGAGGCCGGGCCAGGCCGGGCCCATGGGTGCTGATGCTGCGTGTTGTCCCCGACACAGTGTCCTCTCCCTGGGTGGACATCCCCAGCGGTCAGTGCTTCCCCAAGGGCAGCGAGGGGCGAACATCCGGGGCCTACCTGGCTGTGCACGCTGCAGCCACACTGTGGAAGCTGCCCCTCCCCAAGGACCCGCCTCCCTTGATGATGCCAGGATCTCGGCGCATAGACCGCTCTGCCCCTGTGGTCGTCACAGAAAGGTCTCTCTGTTCCTCACCCTCAGCCTCAGCAGAAGCTGCGAGGCCAGAAAAAAAGTCAGCTCTTCCAGTACTGTGCAGCGCTTAAAAACCGGGAGCTCCGGCCGGGCGCAATGGTTCATGCCAGTAATCCCAGCACTTTGGGAGGCCAAGGTGGGAGGACTGCTTGAGGCCAGAAGTCCAAGACCAGCCTGGGCACACAACAAGATCCTGTCTTTGCAAAAATACTAACCAAACAAGAAAAATTAGGAGATTTTCTGCAGAAATTGAGTTCCAGCCTCTTTCCCTCACCCCGTAGGAGCTGAATGTCAACCATCCTGACCCGCTGGGGCTCTTGGTCTCCCGAGTGCACCCAGGTCCTCCCAGGTGCGGTGTGCACCGAGAGCGCCTGGCCTGATGCCCTGGCCTGTGAACTGGGGACTCCTGGGTCCTGTGAGCCCCGTGGCGGCAGGCCCAGGAATGGCTGGGTAGGACCGGGAACGCCTTTGCCCCAGGTCTGGCTGTGGCCTCGGTGAAAGCGGACAGGAGAGAGGTGGGACCCTCCTCCTCAGTAGTGGCTGCCAGCCCCTCTTTGCAGGACATGGTCATAATAACCATAAATAACCCTTCGCATGTCACCCGCGGCTTCCACACTTTATTTCCGAAGAGTCAGTGTCACAAAGCGGGTCTCCCTGTGCTGCTGCTTTCTGTGTTTTCTAGTCTCTCCCCCAGGGGTTGCCCAGGGCCCTCAGGAACTGAGTGTGGGCCAGACACTGCTGGGCCACAGGGTGCAACACTCATGTGGGCCCCTGTTGCCCTGGCTGACAGTTGGCAGCGCAGAGCCCCCCTGCCCATAGCAGGAGCCTCCTGGCACAAGCTCTCCCCTTAGGGGTCCTGAGCAGCGTCCCTGCCAGGGCTGGT